ATTTTCGCTGTCGATGGGATTTGAACACCCAACCTACCACTTGGAGGGTTGACAACCTGACCACTTCACTAGGTCACTACACCTCTAGTGCTTCAGTTTCTAATAATACAATTATTAAAAAGTATTTATTTAATAAATATATATTAAAATATTAAAATAGACTCTATATAGTTTAGACCTTAATTCTATTAAAAATCTTTAGTTTAAGGTCAAAAAAAAGCTTTAAAAATATCATTCAAGATCTGGTAATCTTAATGAACTTAAATACATAGTTAAGGAAGAATAAGCTATATTATCTAAGAAAATAAAGTAAACTATATTAAAAAGGTATATAATAATAATAATTGTCATTCATATTATTAATTTTAGATGGCAAGTAGAATTTGCTAAATTAGTATAAAGAATATTCTTATCAAATAATAATAATAATAATAAATAATAATATCTATTATCTTGTGTTAGTTTTGCTTTATAGTCTCATAATCATATAAATTAATTACAATAATTGAAAAATAGTATATTTGTTAAATATAAAAGATAAACCTTTAAGTCTTTAATAAAATCTTCCAAAAGGTTACGGTTATGAAAAGATTGCACATGTAAGTTCTTTAGACTAGGGCAACACCAACATCCTTATACCTCTCAATATAGGCAGTACCAATATCCCTGCATTCAACTTATGGGATACTTGCTTGGAAGGATAATTAATAGATTGTGCAAGTAAGTCTTAATTGGGATCCAAGGAAAGGATTTGATTGGGAGAGTAGTCTGACAAGTAACCAAAAACTGAAATAGTGAGAGAAGCAGTGAACACAAGGATGGACTGTGATAAAAGATTGGTCTAACCAAAATTGGAAGCATTTCTGGCATAGCCGAATAATCTAATTATAGAAAGGAAGATCTTGGAGGTAGGCGTATAACCTCCTTGTGCAATATAAAAGTACCAAATCAGGTTCTGGTCATACCTATATAGAGTCTATGATGAACAAGACTAGGGATCAACCAACCAATGTAAGATAAGATCTGCAAGGTAGTATGGCATCACTGGGGTCGGTGTAACTCCCTGGGCATAACCAGAATTGTCCTGCAGGTATTGTCGAATAAGCTGGGAGCTTGCAATATATGGTAGTATGCTATCACTAGGGTTGGAGGAACTCCCTAGATATAACCAGAATTGTCCTGTTCAGTGATGTTCACTGGAACGTTCCAGTGGGAATTACTGGAACTGGAAGGTCACTGGACTTAATTGGATGAAATTGGAACCAAATTTGCTTCCAGTGATCGGATGTTCACTGGAATGTTCCAGTGAAGGTTTTTAGTCACTGGACGAAAGTTCCAGTGATGTCCAGTGACTTCTAGTGGCTTCAAGTTAAAAATTTTAAGATAAAATATGTATAGTTTAATTTATATGTAATGTACATATGTACGTACGTACGTACATATACGGTATTACAAAAAACTTAATTTTTTGTAATTGAAGTATCCCTCTTAAAATCAATTATAATAAGATTTACTCCACATGATTGTGCATTTATATCCATTGTTCATGCGAAAAACAAACATGTGAAGCTTAAAGATTTTGTGCTACAAATCAGTATATAACTATCTAATTGCTAATTACTACTCGTATTATATTCAATTGGATAATTAGCATTCATCGTATAAGCGAGACTTAATAATCTGAAATTATAACATTTTATTTAAAATAAAATTGTAATTTAAACTCGTCTATTGTTTTTTTGGAAGGACATTAGCAGTTTTGTCTGACCCAACTTGGCATTGAAAGTCATTGATCATAAGTAAATCCAAAGATTTAACTCATGCAAAACAAATACGTGGGAATGTTAAAAGTTTTAGTCTAAACTAGTCTTAAAAAATCATGACCTAAAACACTTAAGAACAAGTTCATGATCTGATATAAAATCAAAGAATTCAATAAGATCAGGCTAGTTCTTAATTATGCCTGTTTACTTTAGTGATTCAAGAATACATCTCAAAATAGTCCTATCAGTATTGGAATAATCATTGAGACACATAATTTTATAAATCCTATAAATTCTGCATATTGCTATTGTGAAAACAATAGTAATATACAGGATTCATAGAATTCATGAAGTTCTATAATCATACTAATTCAAAGCAATGATTATTCATGTGACTCTTAATATTCAACTCTTAAATAACTGAGCCAAACTCAATATGTCCATGTTGAGTAGACTTAAAGGACTGAACCTCACTTTTTTGTACATCCAATTCTCGGCTTTTTCTAAAGCTATTTTATTCTGCTTAGAATTAGAACCTTTCAATTTATACAAAAGAAAATGATAGTTCAAAAAATACTTATTTGTAAACCTATAATCTGAAATTTGAGCAAAAAATTATATCACGTAGCTCAGAATTTGAACAGCAACTATAATATTTTAATTTTGAAATGCAAATAATGTCTTATACGTGTATAAGACGATTAAACAGGACAGAATCAAAAAAATAAGCACATGCGAATTATTGATACTATAATGCAATGAAACGCCTACCTTTAGATTAAAATTATAATAATTATAATCTTTAAAGAAAAATTTTTTTTCAATAGGTGTATATTCTTGTCTCATGTAGCTAGTTTAAGATCTAGTTAAGAATTGGCTTTTTTTTTTATGATTAAAATTTTGCAGGTTCCTGACATAGGCATTGTATTACCGTACAGTGTGGACTATAGTGCCCTGAATACAATACATTCTACAGGCAAGATTCAAGTTAGTACCCAGGTATTATACTTGGCAATTTTTCTCATATAAAAAATTTACCATTAATAAAAGTCAATTGATATAGTATAGGTGTCTCCTATATTATATCCAGGCATTTTACATTCTATCATATAAATTTTTTGAGGAGTACTTTGATATGGGAGGGTACTATGGTCCGTGCTGTACGGTATATTTTAAGAGTACCTTTTTTGGCACTTGCATGAATAATAACGCAATTTTAGCAATAATGTCTCTGATTTAAGATAGCGGGTTCCAGAGGAATGTTCTTTTCTTCAATCCTTTAAATTGAAAATATGTAAGAATGTAAACGCAAAAAAAATAAAAATATATCATAATATACCCTTCTACGTTAAGTTCCACTTATTATTAAGAGGTAATAGCATTCAACTTACCAAATCAAATCAGCGGCTGAAGCTCAATATGCATAAATTATTTATTATTCTTCAATTCAGTCTTGATCATCAGTGATGCGTTGCTGTAAAAAATGTTGAATTATGATAATTTAAGATTGATTGATAGCAATTTAGAAGTTCCTATCATGAATCTTAAATCAATAGTATTGTTCTTTCGTTTGTAATATCTGGCAAACATAATGGCATGTGAAAAATACAGACGAAGGGATAATGTTTAAAGCAGTGTTGGTATTTGAATTAATTAAAGATGATATAAACAATATATAGTCATAGAATTTTTAATTTGAAATGTAATATTTGAACTATGTTCAAATCTGTTCAAATCTATTCAAATCTATTCAAAATGAATGTCGCTAAGGGAAAACCTGCAAATCTTATTAGATAAGATTTGCAGGTTTTCTCTTGACGACACTCAAATATGAACATAGCCCAAATGCCAACACTGCTTTAAGATGTTTTGAATTTTAAGCAATAAAGTATATAAGAGTGTAGCTTCCAAAGAAAATTTCTTTTAAAGAAACTTTGCTCTATTCTATTTCTTCACTTATAATAAAACTTATATGACGGTATTGATTTTGAAATTCTAAGATTGTGCTAAAATGTCTCGACATCATACGGGTAGTCCTGAAAGGCATAGGTTCACAAATGATATTATTGTACTTGGTACAAAGCCTACAAATAAGTATAATACTTATTGTGTATGTAAGGCTTGTGACGAAATACTTGGCCGGGAGGAAACTTTAAAAAATCCAATTACCAATAAAAAAAATATTGTTAGAAATCATCTTAAAAACTGTGAACATTTTCATGTGAAGAAAGGATTAGAAGAAGCAGTAAAAATATATTGTAATAAAACAGATGATGAAGAGCAGGCTTCACAAACTTCAATAAAACACCAAAACGCCGATACATTAGGTAATTAGTAAATACAAAAACCTTTCTAAATGCGTCCTCCCTAAACATACTACCTTCATGGATGACTTTCAACTCTCGGCCCATATATCTACTTAACCTCTATAGACACATTATCTCTATAAATGGTATTTTTGCTATAAAATGACCCTCCAAGACTATGTTGATTTTGCGAATAAAAATTAAATTTGCTGGCCATTTAGTTATTCAATTTGAATAACTAAATGGTCGGCAAACTTAATTTTTATTCATTAAATCAATATAGCCTTAGAGGGTAATCTTCATAGCAAAAATTCCAAATACGCATTACAGAGAATTTAGTCTAAACAGGATATGTAAATAATATTAAATTTTTTTTTTTGAGTAGATAATATGAATGACGAAACTTTTAGCGTTTCTTCAACACCTTCAACACCTAAAAAGCAAAGAAAAAAACCATTGAATTCTAATACTATATCCAATTTCATTGTCAAAGATGTTTCTGTTAAAGACAAACCTAAATTTGAAAGATTGTTACTTCAAATGACAATTTCAAATGGATGGGCTTTTAAATGGACAACAAATCAAGCAACTTGGGAGTTTTTTGAGTTCTTAAACCCAGCACTTACCCTTCCTGCTAGACATGCTTTATTAAATTGTATCCTTGATGCCGAAAGAAATAACTTTATAAAATCACATGAACAAAAGTTAAGAGAAGATGTCATCAGAGTTACCTTAGCATTTGACAGGTAGAAAAATATTTTGAAACAAAATATTTTTGGTTTATTATTTATTTTATCAACTGGAGAAGTTCAAGTTTGGGAAGCAATTGACGTTAGTTCAGAGCGAGAGCGGATGATCGATATTATCTCTAAAATTAAGAAAATGATTAATGATGCTTCGAATATAGGAACAAAACTACTGGCAATAGTTTCTGATAGCGCATCAGCATATTCTGCTGCTAGGTAAAAATCAAACATATAAGTTAACTAATTACTTTTTATAGACCAACCAGATCAATTATCAAAAAAAAATTAAAAATAATATTTTTTTTTAAATATAAAATTGTCGGTGCCTATGCTTAAATCAAATTGAGTACCATAGCTAAAACCTGCAATTGTTGATTTTCAAAAATTTCATTCTCAGAAACGGGTTTATAAGAAATATTATAAAATATTATAAGAATCTTATAAGTCAGTTTCTGAAAGTAAAATTTCTGAAAATCAAGAATTGCAAGTTTTAGCTGTGCGGTATTCATTAAAAATAATTAATTTTGTGCCCAAATACTTATCCTAATTATTTTAAATAGACGTAGACTACGATTGCAATATCCAGAAATCGTTGTTATCCCTTGCTTTGCTCATTAATGTAATCTTGCCGTGGGTGAAATATTCAAAGAATCTGACGAATTTAAAACTGCAATAAAACAAGCAATACAAATAGTTGGCTATTTTAATAACAGGGTCCATTCATATTTTATTGGAAAACTTCGAGTCTTACAAAAGCAAACGTATTCAAAATATATTGCTTTAATTTGTCCAGGCAATACTCGTTGGAATTCTTATTTTTATTGTTTTAAAAGCCTAATAAAATCCTGGCAAGCTTTAAGAGTTAGTACTTAAAATACTATATTTACCGAAAATAACATCCCGGGATAGCATGTAATTTGAAATGTGCTAAAAATTAATTTAGCCAAAGATTTTTAAAATAAAACTATAATTTATATTCGGCTAAATTAATTATTAGCATATTTCAAATTACATGCCATCCTGAGATGTTATTTTGGGTAACTATAGTATATTGTTTAAGTAAATACGTATTTAGCCAAAAAATAAATAAAATTTTAAACTTTTTAGAACTTAGCTACTACATTTGAATCGCCTTTAACCTATGATTCTAACAATGAAGAATCAAATAGTTCAGATGAACTTTACCTTCCGCAAAATATTACATTGATTCTTCTTAATGACAACTTCTGGCAATCGATAACTCAGCTAAGTTCTTTGCTTCTTCCTTATTGTGGTGCTCTTAACAGTTTACAATCAGATACTGCTCGTCTTTATAATATGCTACAGGCTTTTGGTGGAATATTAAGAATGTGGCAAGAATACTCAGATTATAGTTTGGCACAACATATAATTCAGCGGCTAGAGCAAAGATGGAAGCAATGGAAACAACCTTTATTATTATTGGCTTTTCTTTTAAATCCAAATATTTATATTTCCTGGTTTAACGCTAATAATAAAAATTTAAACTTTACATACCTTGCTCAATTTGTCACCTATTATTACAAAGCATGGTTTGGACATCAGCCAATCTGTATTTTACTTGAACTAGAAGACTATAGAAAACAGAAATATCCCTTTGATTCTGCAACATATAAACAATTTGGAAAGAATATATTAGGATTCTGGGAATTTGCTTCTTTTTCTTCAAAAGAATTAGGCCCATTGGCACTGCATTTATTTGAAATCTGTGTTAATGCTGCATCTGTGGAACGTTTATGGAGTTCAATGGGTTTTATACATACCAACTGTCAAAATCGTCTTACAGTAAGAATTTTTTTTTTACTGATAAAAATTAAAAATTCCACTTAATTTGTCATCCAATCTGCCATTCAATATTATCATATGATTTCACAGACATGCATGAGAAAAGTCTCTGAACACCTACGTACCAATTCAGGTAATTTTTGTACCTACGTACCTATTTAGGATAAGCAGGTTTTAAATTTATAATAGGTACATATCAAAATTACCTGAATTGGTTAATACTAGTAGGTATTGAGAGACTTCCTCATGCATGTCCATGAAATCATGTGACATATTGAATAGTAGGTTGAATGGCAAATTGAGTGGCATTTGAATTATACCATTCAAACATATCGAAATTTTAATTTTGCCAATGTTTTTTGTATATTTTTTGTTAAAAAAAATTTTTTTTTCTTTTAATATAGAATGAAAAAGTATTAGCTATGTGTCAAATTCGTGCCTCAATTAACTTTTCCTAGCGCAAACAAGTCCATACCTATAATATTATGTATAGCCAATCCAGCGCACCACCAATTGGTGAAGCTATACCAAATAAGTTTGAAGCAGATTTGGATGAAGAACACAATGAGCTGTATGATATAGAACCATCAAACCTTGAGAATTGGAAAAATCAATTACATGATTGGGAACAAATGCTAACAGATGAAGAGACTGCCAGATTAGAAGATAAAGAAGAAGAACATGATAATTATTATGACAGTATAGAAAGTGATTTGTTGAGCGATTATACACACCCGGTGGTAGACGACAAAGCAAAATAGAACTTGGAGAGTTTATTTAGTATGTTATTTCAAAAGCCAAACTATATGAATAACAATAATTAGTTCATATATGATTTGATAAATTATATTTTAAATACAGCACCTTTCATTTTTTTCTTTATATATGATTTTATCTCATCTTTGTTTAAAATATGATGTGTGATAATAAAGACAATCTTTAATATCTATAAAAATTTAACCATTATCATTATTTTAATTAAATAATAAACTATAAAATTCTGTAAATAACAAGACAAGAATACTTAGGTAAATCGCAGTTAAAGGGCATAAAGTCATCAGAAGCTAATGTAGGTTTTCTATAGGGTTGAAATGCAGTCAGTTTACAATGAAAAGTTTTTTTAGCTAAGCAAGCCTTACTTGAGTTTCTAACAAATGTTAAAGAGCTAGTAGATCGCAGGATACATATCGACAGAAACTTTCAGCATTCCAACATTATAGTAATTCCCTGCTGATTTTTTTATGAAATTTATACCTTTCAACTGTGATCTACTACTCAATTATTTTTTATTTGAAACCCGGACTAGACTAATGTCTTTAATTTGACTCATATCCTCAATAGTCATGTTACAGTTAGTTTCATTAGTATTGAAAGAGGTTAATGTAGAATTTAGTAAATTAAAAGGCGTTTCAAGAATATATGCCAAATCAAACAAATAAATTGTAGTAGCATTATACCTTAATAGTGATATATAAAATAATTAGCATTTGACTTCACAAAGCCTATGATTCAAAGCGAACTCCAACATTAGTATATATGTATTTTTTTAAAACAATAAATTAGAAAGTGGATCTGAAATAAACAAATATGTATTTTGGAAATTTCTACATGGATTTATTCTCTGCAACAAATGTAATATAAGCGCTCATGTTCAAGTGAACCAGTTCAAACGTATAGATCTATGTAAAACATCTTTTAGTATAAGGCCATATCGTGTTCAGGATTTAGAGATTAAAATATTACCAAGATAATATGATCGATGAAAACAACTAAGTATATATATAAGCAGGGTTGCTTTTGATATTATAAATTTCGATCTTGCAGCTTTTTTTTTTGATGTTCTACCAACAAGCACGTGAAAATATGCATATTTTTATTGGCTAATGTTATTACTATTCATGCATTTTGATTGAACGATATTATAGGTTCTAGTGGGAAAATCTTCTAGTGGGAATTTTTTACTGAAACTCTAGAATAATTTGAACATCCAGTAGGGTTTTAGTGGTTCAGTTAACATCACTGGTCCTGTTTGTAAGTGCAACAAGTCCTAGTCTCTATCATAAAAGGAAGCACCATGTTGGAGGTTAAATGCAGCATCGAGTTACTATATGACGTTAAGACCTGGGACATCTGCAAGAACAATGGCAGCAGGTTTGGCTTGAGATACAGATTGGTCAAAAGACCAATGGCAGCAGCAAATCTGGCTTGAGATACAGGTTCATTGTAGATCCTAGACCATTGTCGAAACACCTTAGAGAAATCAATAACAAGCAAACCAAAGATGAGAAGATCATAAGGATCAGACATACCCGAGTATGACCAATTTGGGAGTAATACAGTAACAAAAAGATGGGAAATATAGGGAACAAGGTAATACTAGATATAGTTAGATTAGGAGACAGAAGAAAACAAGACCAGGTAAAACATGTGAGTGGGACATATGGGTACGATTTACAGAAGACAGTACCTCTGGCATTTGGGATGC